CTGCTGGTCCAGAGGTCAAGGTATTAGATCATTCTGGATAGTGGATGTCAAGATTTCGGACTTTGTATATCATGTAATAAGTCTTTGATAATATTTTCTTACCTCATTCACTGCAGCTTCATAATTTTAAGTAGCTCCACATTATTATGGCTCCCCATGGCCAGATTAAGACCATCAGAGACCCTAAGCACTTAAAGAATTTTGATTTCCCCACAAATACTCACACCCAGTTGCTCTTCATTCCCCCTCTCTCTCTCTCTCGGTTTTGGAATACATATCCACAAAATCATTTAGAATTTCACAGTGAAAAGTTGCAAGTGATGGAAAAAATAAAAATGTAAGGAAAAATACATTGTATGGTAGAGAAAACTAATGAAAACTTTATTAAACATAGTACAAACATATAAAAGACAATGCAAAGAAATAAACTGGTTTTATAAAGTTTAATTACTATATTCTACTTACACACATTGTACTTTCATTATTCTTTGCTGTATTATGCTATCTTTTTCTCCACTTTCATTTAAAGTGAACTTCAATAAAAATTTGCCCAAGGAAGTTTGTTTCATCCTTCTTTTAAGAATGTTTCTGAAATGTGTTTAACAAGTGTTACTATACAGTACCGTAACACAACATGCTGCAATTTCGTCTATGTGTTTTATTTCCAATGAACTCAGCAGCAGCTGCCTCCTAGTTTCTTAAAATACCCTTAATTTCAGCTAAGAGATGGGCTTCTCTACCACTACCTTCTGCTCGCTATTTATTTCATCAAAATTCTTTTTTCCCCTGGCCATCAGTGGCTGAAAGTAGCTAAACAGGTTCGATTCCAGGTGAACAGGCTGGCTACATGGGCCTTTTCATGGTTTTTCCCATACGTAATGTGGATCTGAGCCAGTTTTCCTCAAAAAGTCTTCCATGAAGGCACCCCTCCTCCCCTTAGGCTGTTAAACCCAAGTGTGCTTTGTCATAATCAAATAAAACAAACCAAATCACAATCTTCTTATGTTCCTCAATGTATAGTTCATTTACCTCTCACAATTAAGTTCCTCCACCTCACTCTTCCATTTCATGGCCTTTCCAAGGGACAAAATCTCCTCCAGCATGGCCTCTATGGGTTCACTTTTGAATCCTTTAAAATTCCTTTCAGACAAAATCTCAGGCCACAGCTTCTTCCATCCTCAATCGAAGGTCATTCTTGAAATACCATGTGCCATTTTCTCTCAGTGCTGCTCATGAATCAATCAGTCACAATTTTCCTACACAACAGTTTCATAGAACTTTTGATTCCAGCAACAGAATGTTTATATGTAAGAAAGGAAATTTATGTTTTGAGCGGCTGTATGTTGAATAATGAAATAAAATGTATACATAATGCAAAAACCCTGCCATGCTTTAAGCTTACAATAGTACTATAGTGTTCTTTCCAGAATCTCCATATGGTGAAGCTGGTGTTCTCCATCACATCAAAGCAGCAACAAAAGAGGTCTTAGGTAAACAGATTTTTAAATTTGAAATTATATGCCAGTTAATAAGCTGTAGGAGTGGTGCTGAGTCGAAGTTAGAGAGCCTAGATGAAATTAACTATTAATAGTACTATACTATTAATAGTACTATACTCTTACTATTAATAGTACTATACTCTTACTATTAATAGTACTATACTCTTACTATTAATAGTACTATAGTGTTCTTTCCAGAACCTCCATATGGTGAGGCTGGTGTTCTCCATCACATCAAAGCAGCAACAAAAGAGGTCTTAGGTAAACAGATTTTTAAATTTGAAATTATCTGCCAGTCAATAAGCTGTAGAGGTGGTGCTGAGTAGAAGTTAGAGAGCCTAGATGAAATTAACTCTTCAAGGATGTCATCATCGAGGTTCGGTGGTTGCACAGAAGGTTTGTTGAATGCAAGATGGGCTTGTTAGGGTAGGTAATTTTCTTCCATATACTTTTTAACACCAAAGACCTGGTTGATCCATTTCATTGCCTCTTTCTATTTCAATATTGTTACATATTGCAGAAGTACTACACTTGTACTGCTTGGCCAAATACACTACAAGCACATCTTTCTTATGATTATCAATGATTTCATACTTAAATTCTAAGAAAAACCATCCACTTCATTACTCACTTTCTTACAGCCCATATCTTAATAATGATTATAAATATATATTTGTATTAATTGTAAATACATATTCTATATATTATTTGTTTCACAAGATATAGTAAAGTTAAATTTAAATTTAACAAATATTCTCTATTCGTAAAAAGCTAACATAAATTTACAATTTAATTAAGAAACTTTAATTTCAAAAATAAAAGATTAATTATTGCTGCAAACTAATTTACAATACCATTTAAATTCTAAGAACACATGTAAATTAAGTGCACATATCTAAAACCATGAAAAAATAGTATTCTTCCCCCCAAAAAAATCTCAAATTTTTTAATGAATTTTTAAGACCAAATTAATTTGCATAAGTGAATAATTGTTGAGCAGGCAGGAGACAGACTTATCAAGGGGAAGTTGCCTTCAAACCTAACTCTTCAATTACTCAATTCGTGTTTCGTCATCCATATAAGCAAGAGTATATGTAAAATTCAAAACGAAAAGTAAAACCAAATGTTTAAGTTTCTATATATTATATATTTATACTGATTATATCTTAATAATGATGACAAAAGTAACTGCACAAACACATGAAAGCAAACACAAAATATTACACATATGCATCTGACACGGGGTAACCGCATGTACTGAATGAGTAAGCTTCCTCTTCATTTTGTTTACAGCAACTAGTGGCAGTGCAGTGAATCCCTCACTTGAGCTCATATCCAGATACAAAAGTTTGCTTGAACATTAGGCTCATATCCTGAACATTTTGTATCCAGATATACTAGTATCCAAAAAACCACTGCTTATATATGTAAAATATAAAATACCCATCTTTCAAATAGTAACCTTTAACTCCTGTCTTTATTCTAAAAATAATAGAGCAATAATTTCTTTAACTAAACGAAAACGATCCATCATCTAATCTGTATTGAACACTTATCTATGAAATCTGAACCCAACCCCAACAATCGGACATTAATCTGTCATGTGATATGAAATGGTATAAAATGTAATTGCATCGTAAGTCCCCCTTCTCTCTTCCCTTCTGCTTCTAGATGCTTGTGTTGCCTTGCCACTATCTACAGAGAGTTTATTTTTCTAATTTTGATCCTTTAAGAAGATGTAATCTGTACAAAATTGGGAGTGCATAGCCCACCCACAGTGATAATGTGCATTATCCATGAATAAAATTATTTGTGGAATTTAGGCCATGTCTACCAGTTTTTTGGTTTATGCATCCAGCGTTTTAACTATGCAGTAAAATTTCTTCAAGTTTTAATGCCACCGCTAATCCGCTGCAACTTACTTTCCCCTAGTCATCTTACTATAATGCAGTCTTATTACAATAATAACACAGTCTTATCACAATAATAGCACAGTGTTATTACATATATATTTAAATTTGCATATTCATTCTCATTTCGTTAACACCAAAAAAAGAAAAAAAAGGGGGGAATCTAACTCATTGGCTGCTTTTATGCTATAAATTTGGCCCACGTGTAATTTGAGTTTTAAACCACTGGCTTAGGTTATAAACTGTGGAAATGCTTTGGCATCATAATTAGTAAATGAAAAGTTCATCTCAATAAGGCACAGCACTCTTAAGTTTCATTTAGTTAAATCTATTTAAGTTTAAATTTTGCAAAGGCATTTCTTGCAAAAAGCTGCATTGAAAATTTTTTATGATAATTAATAAAAATTCATGAGGAGCATAGCAGTTAAAATGTTAATAGCCATCATCTTACAAAGCTTTATATGGAAATGGAATAAAAAAACTAGCCTATTTGTTAGTAAAAGAGACAGCACTGGATGATGTACATATTTGCAAAATATGTTAAACATCCAGTGTATTTAACTCCTTAGTAAGGTTTAGGTGAATCCTTTAATTCATAAAATAAATTTTAAAGAGATGTAATGTGTAGTTTGTTGTTTTTTAATGAAACAGTTTGAAATTTTTATCATGAAGTAAAACTCATTCTTAAAGAAAATCATTTGTATTTTTGCAACTATTTTTAATCCTATTGGTCTAGCTGATAATGGTAGCTGTGACATTTTGGAAATATCAGATTTCCTATAGATGAATATGATAGTTTTAAAATTAAATAATCTCAAATCATGAAATCAGAAAATCTAATAAGCAAACTTGCTGACTAAGGAACTCAGAACTGGCGAAGTCTGATGCATGTTATTAAATGACCATTTCCCTGGAGATGGTCCTGTTGATTTATATATGACGAAACATGCATAGGCTGTCTGTCATGGAAGAAATGCTCTAGCATACATCTTTTCACGAGAAACTACCTTATGTTGATGTGAAACCCCATGCAGCTAGCCATGCATTTCCACATTTCCTTTGATTAATTTCATGGCAAAGAGCAAGCAAAAATCGAAGTAGATGACATGTTTTTATTATAAATTCATACCAGAACATAAGTTAATAATCATAACACACTTGGCAAAAGAAATTAAAAGTATTTGTAATATTCCATGCTAGATTGAGATGAGAATGTATTATTACAGCAAAACACTTAAGGTATATTTGCTTTAGATGTTTGGTTTATTTAGCTTTAGATGTTGGTTTGCTTTAGACGTTTGTTTTATTTAATTATGGCGGAGCATTCAAGGGCTACCTGCCTATATTTGCTTTAGAAGAGGTGCTTTCGCAAGGACTCTAATAAGGAAAATGGCTTCCATTTACATTAGACATTAGGAAAGCAATATCCAATGCAGCCAGAAAGATCATTGTATTATGAACTTGGTACTGACAAAATTTTTCTGAATACCGTAATTTCCAATCTATATAAATCTTCTCACACAACTTAAGGAAATTCAAAGTTATCACATAAATACAATCTCAAAAGTTAAAATGACTAAGAAATACATACCTATGCTTGGATAAACTTGGCCATTCTCTGCAGGTGGAGAAGATGGAGACACCGACATGACAGAAAATTCCTGATGAATTAAAAGTAATAATTTCTAAGTCTTCAAATGCAAATATGGCATGCATAATGAATTAATTTTTTTAAGATTAAAAATTTTTACAGCAATTAAGAATTAAAAATACATGAAATACTTCATATACAATTCATTAGTCATCATTAAGAACAAAATATAAATTATGTGTGATTTACTGCTTAGTGATAACTAAAACATAATCTACAATTACACTGCATACATCAACGTAAGATAAATATTACAGTAGAACCTATTTTGAACCTGCATTAAATAAAATTTCAATATTTCAAATGTGATTGTTAAGTAGAAAAATGTAATGCCTTTATAAGCTATGCTTTGTCAATGGTAATAGAAGTGGATGCATGTTTAAAAAAACACTTCAGCAGATGACTAAATGAGTAGGTTTATAAGGTCACGTGTAGTCTAAAATGAGTAGGTTTATATAGTCACGTGTGCATGCAAGATATTTGTGCATGCTTCTTCTACTCATGCACCTTCTTGTTACATATAACATATTGGAAGAGATTATATGTCATCATATTCTATTGAATGGAGTACCAATTTTAAAACGTACATTTCTTATAGCAGTTATATTGATGATATACACACCCACACACAGAGAGAGATACACAAACTTCTGTTCTTAAAAGAACATTTTGAAAGAATATAGTTACATCTTTTCTTTTTTAAGTCTATATAGAGCAGGTAACCTGCATCAAATGATTAGCATTTTGAAACAATAAACATTGTATATATTGATACAGTTAAATATTCTGTGTATTTAATTATAGCTTATATTGTTTATTCTACACATGTTGGCAATGACGTGGCTATGGACAGCAAGGGAAGCCTCTGTCCCCCTCCGCACAGCATTCAGAGAACATCAAACTGATGTTCACGATTGCATCTGGCAAACAGAAGGGAGTGCAAAATTTTCAGTTGTCTTTGGGCACTGAAAATCCTAGCTATGCCTCTGCATGCCGATACTGAATTACACAAAGCCTTTTAAATGCAATATTTATAAGCATTTACAATATATATATATATATACAAGCTATAATTGCAGGCACGTCGGGAAAAGAAACAAAACCATTGAGACTTGCTATATTAAGATAATTTAGCTTGATTATTCTATTAATGAAATTCCGCTTTCAGTCTCAATGTTTTTCGTTTGACGAAATGTGCTAACACTATTAGCTGAATTCGAGTTTTGAGACACTTTTCCCTTGATAAGTCCAGCCTAAACCTCGAGTTGGGCTAATTTACCATTTATTGCAATTCTTTGTACATATTTTCTGTGTCTGAAGTGTTTTTAATTATTTTCGCATTTTAAAAAAAATTTGTTTTTAATTTATTAGTTTTTTCACATCACTTTTTCTTTTTGAAGTTATCTCGTTTTGTAATTTTTACAATAAATTTTTACGCTATAACTTAGACTTCTTTAGTATTGTATTGTTGTTTTTACATGGTGTAATTATTTTACTCAGGAGCTGCAGTATCAAATGTACTTTTCAGCAATAGCTTTTGAACTTTCCTCTTCTTTGCAAATATACAGATATATATCTTTTATCACTTAGCTGCTACTCAGAGGATTAAGAATATAAAGAAATATATTTTAAGAAGTTTGGCAGAAAGGAAAAATCAAACAGAACCTCAAAAGAAAGTGTTTTGTTACTAAAATGATGTGCTAACATAAAAAAAAGGGCCACCATGGATGGTCTAGTAGCAGTAGAAAGGCAAAGCTCTTGCTGCCACTCTCAAGGACATCAAATGGCCTATAAAATTTTAAATAACATCTAGAGAAATAAAAATCAATAACTCTGTGTTTGTTTTTGAAATAAAGTTTTAATTCTAACACCCTTAAAATGCCATTTCGCTTGTTTTCTGTTAGCAAAATCATTGATGAACATTCTGTTTCCTTCCTATTATTCTTCTTTAGATTGTACAGTTAACATCTCTTAAATGCAAGGTATTCATTTTTAGATTATTAAGTGCTTGTAACCAATTTGTATTTAGGAAAATTCCTCTCACAAGTAATATTTACAGTTATTGTGATGTGAAGAATTATCACAGTATTTGAAACTACAATATGATGATCGTATTTTGGAAGAAGATTGTAAAGCGGCCTTTCATTCTCCCAAGCAGTAAGAGAAATAAAAGTCTGATATACTTCTCTCCCAGTAAAGAACTCTTTCTTAGTTATGTCACTGTGATCATAATTTAATTGACACTTTTATTTTTTCATTTAAACCCTTCACACCCAGTCGGTATGGTGGTCAGGGAAGCTGACTGCGATGCGGAAGAGCCAGGTTTCGAATCCCGGAAAAGGCATGGTTGTAACTTTCCATCCCTTCATAGGAAAGGCGATGGTGGCCCACCTATTAGGTGCCTCCATATTAAAGAGACCACCACATCAGGCCTTGTATAGATTAATGGACTGGGTTACATTTGTAATTGTTCACAATCTGCCATTAGGAAAAAAAAAAATCTTCACAATGGATGTATCATATATGCATCATCAGTTAATCCTTTTACACAACGCCATGCTGCTTAGCATAAATCACCTTGGAAACAGCAGGTTGATGCAGTAGTATGATCTCGCCTTTCGTTGAAATATGCTGCCTGAAACTTTTTGCGATTACAATACTTCCCTTTTACTTCGTACAGGGAAGTAAAAATATGTTGCCTGTTTGACATTACTTAAAATAATTTGTTTTATATTATCTCCTAATAAGCTTTTTTATTTTGAATTTTATTTTCAAGGTAATGACGCTTATTTTTTTAGTTTGAATTTTATTTTCAAGGTAATGACGCTTATTTTTTTAGTTTGAATTTTATTTTCAAGGTAATGGCGCATATTTTTTTAGTTTGAATTTTATTAATATATATAGACATGATAGTGTCAAATATTGCGATCATTTCTATACAGTTTAAAAAATTATTATTCCTTTCAAATAACCTGTTACTGGAACCCCGGAAGGCTAAGTTTTGTTTGGCGAAAAACTCAGTAGCACAGATGATTCTTTCAATAATGTTGCGCCAATGCTTAGTCTCTAAATAAATGCTTAGTCCTTTAATAAATTTTGTCTGCAAGTTCCACTCTTTTACTACACAATTATGCATTATATATGGCAGCAACATCTACAACCATTGGCCATGATTATAACTGTACTGAATTATTTCAAAGTTTTCAAAATTTCCAAATTATCAATTTAATTTGAGATTTCTTAATACTTTTTAATTAAGAAATTCTCCTTTTCAAGTTTCATCTATTTCTATTACATATCATGCTGTTTATTTCAATTAAAATTTAATATGTCATAATAAACTAGAGGCCTTTCCAAGAAAATGTTTAGCTAAACAAAACATTTTTATCTGCAACACACTTATTCTTTACTTACTGGCTTTTACTCAGGAGGATTTAGTTTAAGAGCTGCTGAAATTTCATTCAGTTTCCTATAGGCTGATGTCATTAATAGCTAATAATATAATTTGAAAAAAATTCTCTGTCGAGAAAAGTAAAGAACACGGTAATTAAATGGTAATTTTCAAGTTGAACTCTTTCTTCTTCAAATAGCTGCCTTGGCCTAGTAAACAAAAAGTCAACAATCTAAAAACATCTTATTAGTCGATATACTAAATAAAGATATAAAACTTTATTTACAGCATTTAAGTAAGAGTCATTTGCATCTCTCATCAAACACGCATTATTGAATACTTAATACACTGTGGAAAACTATGCTTTAATTAAAGCACTATTTCAAATGTTTATAATTGTATGTAATTAGAAAATTATGGACACTTTTTCATTAGTCTCATCTTCCACCAAAGAATAAAACTTGTTGGTGACTACAGCATTTGCAAAATTGCTGGCGACTAATTTTTCACCAAACTTATAAGTGAAACACAACACCATTTTCTGTATGACAGCATTCTAAAAATTTCACATAACAGCAATAAATCAACCAAATTAAAAAAATAAGAAACATCAGTAACAAAGCACTTCCCTTTTCCAACAAATTTTCTTTTTTTCTATGCTGATATTCCCTACCCCATGCACACAGCTACGTATTTTTGCTTAAAGAAACATCAGAGATTTGCATAAGTTTGACTCTGTACAACTTCTGTTTTGCACGGTAATCAAAATGACATGTGCTACTTGGGTTGTCACATAAATACTTTTGATTAAAATCATTGGTTTGCTGTATAACTATTTTGGCATCATACTGCTTTGCCTTGTGAATATATTTTCTCAACTTTTCAGCAGAGGTGCATAAAATCAGAAAGTAGTGAAAAATCTGTGCTCCAGAGCTATGCTTATGCATCATCCTCATCACATCAAAATTTATATTACATGTACACATAAGTTAATGAAAAATTACAGTAGTCTGTAAAATAGTAATCACAAGAGATAGCAACTAACGCAATGAAACACTTTATGTAGAATGGATAAGAAATTCAGTCACATATAGTTATAACTGATTAATCAAGTAGCAGTGAGAGCAGGTGTGTTGAGGTTATATCATACAACTGCATACAGTTCAAGAGTAACACACTATAGTAAACAAAATGATATAAGGTAATGATGTAAAGTAGTGAAATTTTCATATGTCTATGATGTTATGTTGGCTCAGTATTGAGAATCCATCATGCATGAATGAATGAAATGTTTATCAGTAGGTGAAAAACCTTTATATGTTACAGACGCTAATCGCTTATAAATCTCTACAAGCAAAAAATTATGCAAGTTGCCATCTAGTTCTTGAAACATTATTAAGAAAATTATATTATCTTATTCGAAGAGTTATATGCTACACATACACAATAATGATCTCTATAGCAAGAACAAAATCCAGGAAAATTCATCTTCTCAACCAAAGAAGATACTCAAATAGCCACTGCTGAGAAAAATCATGAAAAATTTTTGTTTTGGGTTGCAAATGAATATATTCTGACACGTGTTCGATAATGAACATAAAGCCATAGGATAATAATGGCATATGGACAGATAATGATATCTGCCAACTATCAGCTAATGAAACAGTTGCATATTGTTCTTAGCTGCGACATAAGCTGATACTGCAGCAAAGAAGAATGTCATTCAAAGAGGCAATAATATACAATATACAGCAAACTGAAAGCGAAATCTTTCTACTTTACACAGCCCAGATTGATGCCATACAAATACCACACCTTTGAATTTTCAAGGCAGACTTCAACAAGCAGTATAAATCATTTCCATTTAATATAAACAAAATATATAATAAATAGAGTTATTTTGATAGTTCAAATTATTTTGTTAGCTCTTTCATGCTTGAATTAATAAAAGAGAAATGAACTTAATATATATATGTTACTTATATTAAGTACATAAATATAGAGTTATAAACTACAACATGCAGCACTTTCTAAGATATTCATTCTCATTCTTTAAAATTATTTGTATGCAAATGAAAAAAGAAAAAATGCTTTGTGAGTGCTCTTCTTTATTTATGTGAATTCTGAAGATCTCTTTGAAAGACAGGCCTCGAATGCCTGTTTTTCTGAAGAGCAGGGGCATAGCTAGAGGGGGGCAAAGGGGGCATCTGTCCCCGGGCGCAGAATCCAAGGGGCGCCAAACTGATGTTACGACATTTTAGAACTAAATGTTTTCCATCCTTGGCAAGCAGTAGGGGGCGTGAAATCTTCAGTTGTCCCTGGGCGCTGAAAACCCTAGCTACGACTCTGCTGAAGAGATCTTCAGAACTTCATGAAAAAGCATTAAATACATAAAATGTGGGTTTAATCCTAGTATCCGGTGCACAAGGGATTTGTCTACTTTTGGCGACTTTATGATGAGCAGTAAACGGGACATATACAATGAGTAGTTAAATGGGTCATTTTGGTGTTGGTGATAATTTTCAAAATCGCGCCAAGGCTGCACCATATACTAGGATTTTACCAAAATGTGCTTACGTATATTATTTATGAAGACTCTATAATTACTTTCACTTTCATTAAGTTTTTCCATATACCTGATTTTATTATACTATTATAGCTTCATATTTGATTTTCATATTCTGTTGCTATGATTTTACAATAAACTTTTCTCTATGATCACTTCCATACATTCCAAATGTCTTAATTCTATCATCAGAATATTAAAAATTAAAATAGAGAGAATAATGAAACGAATAATAAGAATAAACGAACATTTTCTTTCTTAAGATTATTACAGCACACCAAAGCAACTAACATTCCATTACATAAATTCTGACATATGAATTTTGAAATATAACAGCAGAATTTCAAACAGAACTTTAGATTCAAATTACACAGAAAAAATTAATTCCGATTAACAGTTTTGATCAATCAAAATCAAAATCCAACATTAAGAATCAACAGAAATTTTTTAAAAATTTTTGCAGTACTTGTTTCGATAGTTTTTAAACTACCTTCTTCAGCTGCTAAGTGAAATACCCTTTTACTTGGTTCACTTGCCCTTACCAGCTGAAGGAGGTAGTTCAAAAACTATCGAAACTAGGGCTAAAGTGCAGAATCGCCCACTTATTTAAGTGGCATTTTTTACAAGAGTAAGAAGAATTGGATTTTTGTCAATTTTCATTGACTTTTTAAGTGAAAATAGGTCGATGTGTACGTGGATAAAGTCAAAGGAGTGCGCAATGCCATTTTGTGCAATGCTGGGATGTTTTTTAAAGTGAAAATAGGTCGATGTGTACATGGATACCGAGTTCTTAAAAACGTCCCAAGAGGTGGGCGATTCAGCACTTTCCCCGAAACTAGCACTGCAAAAAAATGTTTTAAATTTACGCTGATTCTTTTTGTTGGACTTTGTTTTTGATTGTTATTCAGCGTTATATTTAAACTAAATTAAGTTTTGATCAAGTTGATGAAAACTGCTAATCGGAATCCTCGGAAGAACATCTGAATTTGTTACTTTTGTCATAACGATTCCAGACATTACTCAAATAGAAATATAAACATTAAAAATGTTATTTCCTTACACCATCTCATAAATGGTTAATAAAAACGTGGGAAATTGTATTTTACTTTATATTTGTATGGTTACTTGATTTAAAAGTATGGAAACAAATAAAAATTATGATCGATTAATAATCAGTACTTTTTTGGATACTTATACAAGTACACACATATACACATAAAACAACCTATATTAACCTACCGTAAAATTACTTGGAGGATCACTGATGTGGCTGGCAGAAAATGACGTTTTCAGATCTGTATCTGGACGATTATATTCAGAAAAACTTATGAGTTCGGAAAAACACTTATTTTTTACTCGTTTGCAGACTCTTGAAAGGAATTATTAACCATCTGTTTATATTGTCACGACCATGTTCGATCGACACCTCCTTAGCCAATCATGTTCGACTATGTGGAAGACGAAACACCCAAACCAAAGAATCTAAAGGTACATATCCGGTGACGACTTCGAACACATTTCCGGGTTCCGATTTGCCGAATTTTGACAGACAGACAGACAAAGTAGACAGATTAAAACTCAGAATCTAGTATAGGGACAAATCCTTACCCCTTTGCCCCAAACATAAGGCTCCTCTAAAGAGTATATAGGAGCCTTACCCAAACACCTCGTACACAGGGTATAAAGGGAGACGGGGAAATAGCTTTAGTAGCAAAAGCAGATGGGCTTTAGAAAATTGTATTTTATTTACCTTATTTATATTCATTATTTTACCCAAGTATATTTGAAGTTTTTATTATCCAAGTGTTTTTATACTAAGTACAGTGTTTCCTAACAGAGCTGAAGGATTTCGTTTGAATTTCTTAAGACTAAGATCGTATTTTATTCTCGAGTGATCACTGACAAAGCTGATTGAATATTTTATTTACTATATTTACCTACTTCAAGTTCTAAGAATGCTTGTAATGAATGTTGGAATGAAAGCTTGTTGTTTTTTAATAGAGAAGTTTATGGTCGCAGACTTAACTGCCAGGGCAGTATCATCTGCGTAACATGCAAGGGTGGAGTCATTACCGTTGGGTTTAGGGAAGTCTGCAGCATAAAATAAATAGAGTATAGGGCCCAAACATGACCCTCGAGGTAGTCCACTTTGCATATTATGTTCTGAGGAGTAAGCTCCTTTCACACCACTTTAAAACTCCTGTCCGAGATAAATGAGAGGACGATCAGAAGAATTAAGGTTGATTAGTTTTGCAATGAGTCCCTCATGCCAGACGCGGTCGAAAGCTTTCGCTACGTTCAGCATGAGGATAACAACATTCAATTTATTATGTACTCCGTAATACGAAGAATATTTACGTACTGTTATTGTTCCTGCATTTTATATTGCGTATTTCATGTAAAAAAAATTTTACAGTACTTCAACCAATCAGAAAAATCTTTAATCTAAAACGCACGATTGGCTCTGTGCCGTCACGTGACTGCAATTTTAGTGCTCGTTGCTATTCACAAAAAATTCTACCTATGCTAATCTACAAAGGTGATGACTACAAATTGCAACTTCCCACCTGAGAGTCCTGCTTCAAGCTTCATGGCCTTCCGTCCTGCCCAGAATACACGTTTCTACTTGTGATTGCCTTAGGACCAAGGACCAAGGCGTAATTTTTACAGAGTACCTTTGAAACTAAATGCAATAACCTCCACATCGTCGTTGAGAAAATAATGAAATAGATTAGAGAAAGTTTAAGCTAAAGACAGTAGGAAAGAAAGCCGATAGGCGAAGAAAGAAATCGATAAAAAAGTCCTCCATCAGCGGACAAAGAAGCAATATACTTGTGTGTAACCACAATGAGTGAAGCGATTAACTCCCCTTGGTGCCAAACATGAAAAGATATTTATAGAAGTAAAGTCAAATACAGCCGAAAGCTTCTTTTAAATAGACGATCTACCCTACACGGGGGTCTGAAACGAACACCCCTAAGAGAAGAGAAGGTATAGCTAAAATTTCTGTGTTAGGTTCTGTAAACTTCCGTTCTTCCTTCTGTTAGGAGGTATTAATAACTAAATTTATTGCTAAGTTATGGATTCACGCCTTGACGGCCTCGTAGTGCACACCTATTTTACAATCATTTAAGGTCTTTTGCTGGAAATTTTAATAGCTAATCTGGCAAATAGAAGTTGTGGTAGACAACACCGACCACAGTACAGTCGGTGTTGGCGTATACTACGGTTAAGGCGCCTATATAGGAGCCTTAACTACGGTGGGCCTTATATAGAGGAGCCTTAACTACGGTGGGCTTTCGAGTGAATCACCAGTGTATAAGATCTAGTTCTATTTTACTGTCTATTTTTTTTTAATTTCTCATGACTGGAAATCTTGAATGAATGGATATCGCTTATCGGATAACATATTTAATTGCGATGTTTGGAGAAACAGGAGACTCTCAATTCTGTAGTGAATTCAACATAAACAGTAAGATAAATCTTGAAGGTTCGATTCGGCATTGGTCGGAAAATGCACTGAACCCAGTAAAATAAACTGGATTATTGGCAAGACTTACCCAGACATTACGTCACTGTACGAAAAAGTATACAGTTGCCAAAGCAGTGATTTTTAACAACAAAGCACTTGTAGCTACTTCATATAAATTCAGATCAAGAAATCAGAAGGATAGTCTTCGAAGAACAGTCTTGAAGCCAAAGAAAGGAGAAACAGCTTGTTATGCTAGATCAGACTATGTTTGTCATCCGATGACGTACTTTCTCTGGGGGAGACAACTGCGATACTTTACCCTGTTAATGGATTTTTCGTAGTAGCAGATCGGGGTAAGGTAAAGGTAGTCCTCCTACGACACGGCATCCTGTAACACGACCGTTTCGTTATAACACGAATCATAAATTGTGAGAACCCCCCTACAACACGGCATCCTATAACATGGTTTTGCTCTAACATGATAAGAAAATTGCCCAAACAATCCCAGGAAATTTAACGAACTCCGCACGAAGTTTTTCCATGTTGAGCAGGATACCAACATTAGTCCACTTTGAAAACGGTGGCGGAAATATAGGCCAGATCTGCAGAGTCTCAAAAAAAGGCTCTGACCTAAATATCGGTCAGAGAAATTCTTCCCCCTTCCCCTTCAAGGTGTAGGGATAGTTATTGTCCGACAACCTTCCCTGCCACTCGTCCGATGACCTTCGTGCTTTCGCCCTAGTCTGTTACCTGAAAATTAACAAAGGCGATACCCTAAAGGAAAGGTTTCAAAAGAGTAGTAGTTTCACACAGAAATAGTAATTGAAAGGGAGGAAGTCTTTTTCCTATTTCTTGTTCTTTTAAGTAAACCGTTCCAAACTTTTCAGTCTTTTAAGGGTTAATACATAAAAATCCTTGTTTTGTAAGTCCTGCCAATTGTCTTCCAAGATCCGGTTCCCGTAAGAACAAAAATCCTCAGGAATACGAGCCACATGGTGGAGACCGACCGTTCAATTTTTAACCGGTAACAAGGGGAAATTGTTTCCTTCCATGACCGTCAAAGTATAGCACAATAGAAACAATACTCAGTCACAAAAGACCACAGCCCCCAGATACCAATTAAGGAACCTCACTATCGCAGATGTTGAGCGACATCAGGTCACAGTGTCACAGAGTTCGGCTTCCAAAATTCGAATCCTCCTCTACGTGGCCTGAAAACAAAAGTGTTTCATACCGCTGGTCCTCAGTCTGCGTTGTGCCACAGTGTGTTAAAGAAGACCTTTTTTACATTAAGACATTAAGTTTCAGTGCCAAAATATGCCCGATTAAGATAAAAGAACAACGTTTAAGAGAAAATTTATTTCTTTACAAGTAAAAATACAAATCTTGGATCGTCTTTTAAAGGGAGAAAAGACATCTCACATTGGAAAAAGTCTTAATTTGAATGAAGCAACAGTCCGGACTATTAAGAAAAATTGAAAAGAAATAAGAAGTGCAGTTGCTGAAAAATCTTCGACATCCTCAAAACGTGCAGTTCGCTCCCGGCACCAATAATTGAGAAGATGGAAAGGCACTCAGCATTTGGATTGATGATAATTGTCAGAAAGGTCTTCCGTTGAATGGTAATATCATTAACCAAAAAGCACAAAATTTACAAGCAGCTTAAAGAATATGAAGAATCCTCTGTCAACCCAGATTTTGTGGCAAGTAAAGGTTGGTTCGAAAATTTCAAAAACTGTTTTGCCATTCATAGCATAAGAATTCAAGGAGAATATGCATTGGATTATTGTGAAGCTGCTAGGATGTTTCCTGAAAAAATTCAAAATATTATAGTAGAGCAGGGATAAACAGCAGATCAACTATTGAGTGCCGACGAAACTGGGCTGTGGTAAAAAAATGCAAAGTAGAATCTTTATATCGAAAAAAGAAAAACCTTCATCCGGATTTAAGGTTTCTAAAGATCGCCTAACACTACGTTTGTGCAGTAACGCGTCGGGGAACTTTATGACAAAACCCTTGTTAGTTTACAGATCTTTAAATCCTCTTACGCTTAAAGGCGTAAATAAAAACGCCTTATCGGTATATTGGAAAGCAAATCCAAGAGCTCGGGTAACCGCAAATAATCTAAACACTAGCTTTTAAACTGTTTTGTGCCAGATATTGAACATTATACAAAGCAGAAAAATTTATGCTTCAAGACACTATTAATTACTATTAAATAATGCTGCATGTCACCCACAAGATTTGAATTATCCCAACGTCAAATTACTGTTCCTGCCACCTAACACTACTTCGTTACTCATGTAACACTCTTCGTTGGATCAATGTATTATTTATGCCTTCAAAATGTATTACATAAGAAGAGCTCAATTGGCAAACAGTAGATTTTAGACGTAACCGATTCAAAATTAATTAATGCAATCGAAGCTTGGAAGAAATTTAAAAAAAAAAGCAGACCTAGTAAATTTTAAAAAAAAAAGCACTGTATCGACTTCATATCGTCGTCACCGAAAGAACTGAAAACATCAACGTTACATGTGTGTTGAAAGAAGATATAACCCTCTTCAGTTGAAGTAGAAAACGTGCGTGAATCGTCAGAAAATGAAATTGATGGCATATTAGAACTCTAAGTCAATCGGAGGCGAAGATTTTCTGGACATGGCTGTTGAGAACATTGAAGATTTATTCGTGGAAGAAGAAATTGACGAAGCGGATCTGATGGAAATGGCATCCGAAGCTGTAAATCAAATTGATTCTGAAGACACTAGCACTGATGAAGATTGTGCAGTTAATAATTTAACAGTAAAAAAAAAATAAATAAATAAAAGAAGGCCTAAGCTTAGCTGAAAACCTCGAGTCATTTTTCTTGAATCAAACCTTTCCGCTGAAAGAAGCCGAAAATTCAAAAAGGATCTGCAAAACCGTCTAGCTCCATATCGAAAAATTTTCAATGACTTGGTAAGACCTAGTAAACAAAGTAAAATTACAGATTTTTTAAAGAGGGAAGAAGGCGCCAGAACTTTAAACGAAGAAAAAAAGTTCTGAAATAAAAGCGATCTCATTCCACCGAAAAAACGTTCTCGGTTGATTATACTAAGCAATGACGACAAAGAAATTAATTAAATTAAAATAACATTTTTGTTTTATGTTGTACATACATTAATATTTTTTAATAAAAATTAAAGTTATTTACGTAGAATTAAAAAAAAAACTTGGTTTTAATAAGTTTTCGGAACGTAACCCTCCTTTTTGTACTGGATCTGAGTCTCGTACAACACAGTTTCACCCAACACGGCATTTTCTAGGAACCTACTTAACGTGTTATAGGAGGGTTACCTGTATTCGCAAAATATCTGTTTGCTTTATTAACGCGGTATAGCAAAGCGTATTAAATTGAAAATAGCACATAATTGAATAAAATGTAATTCCATGTAGAATTACTGATAATTTAAGAAAACATATAGGTCCTAGACCAACTTTAACGCTTCGATTTATTTTCCATTTTCATTTATTTTGTTACTGCAGTGCATCCGTGGGTAGAATTGAAATGCTTCTGCGGGTGAAAATTATGAAACACTCTCTAAATTTCTTCGCCAAGATCAAGACAAATATATTAATACATTTTAATGCTTCGTTTATCACATATATTTTAAAATTATTAAATAACTTGTACAGTTGTTTGATTGTTTAAAAAATTAATGAATTAAAGTTTATCTATCGGGAGTAAAAATAAGTCTCCATTGTTTTTAATCTGAAATTGGCCATTTATTGGTAAAGAATGGTACGTCATGTTTTATTGAAAGTATTGTCCATCGCTTGCACTTAATTTTCCTATCTTCCTGGCAGAAAACGGATCCCGCGTCGGAAGAACGCCTCATTTTTCCAGACTATCCACCAGTTAACCCAATTCTTGGTATCTTCATATGATTTGAAGCTCTTCTCAGACAGGTCATGCGTCATCAATTCAAACAATCAGTAATCAGAAGGTGCAATATCTATTGAATACAGTGGCGGGGGGGGGGGACTTCTGATTTGAGCGTTTCTGTGAATAGGCTTTGAGAGGCGCCGCAACATGTGAATGAGAGTTATCATGTAAGAGAATAACTTTGTCATGCCTGAAGTAGGAATGGGAGAATTTTTCTTTGAGAACTCAACTCAATCTCATTAATTGTGTTTGGTTGAGAGCCCCAGTAACGGTTTCGTTCGGTTTGAGCAACTCATAGTTGGCAACAAGTTGATTCCACCATACACAGGACATGATTCTTTTCCATGAATTTTCGGCTTGGCTGTCGAATTTGAAGCATGGCCAGGTGGTCCCAATGGTTTCTTCTTTTTTTGAGTTATCGTAGTGGATTCATTTTTCATCCCCAGTTATGCTTGACAAGCAGCATTTCAGATGCAAAAAAATCGGCATTTCTACGCTTCAGTTCATATGGAAACTATTTTTCTTGACTTTGAATCACTCCCAATGATTTTAAACGATGTGAAATTGCTTGCTGAGCCAGTCCTAATGTAAATGCAAGTTGTACTTGCTTTTGGCACAAAACGTCATCCAATAACGTTTTCAATTCCGTGTGATCGTACACTTTTATCCTTCCGCTCCATTCTTTGATTTTGATATTTTTATCGTTTTCTGTTAAAAATTTACATATCTTTATTATTTTAGAAGGACTGAATTGTGTTTCAAATTAATATAACAAGTTTCTTATATAGTATTCAGATTTAAATGGAGTTAAGTATTCTGAACACTTTTTATATTGGTCATAATTAAAGACTAGAGGTAGTAAAAATCATAATCGAGCTAGTTCAATATATGTTTAATTATAGCTCTACTCGTGTTTTAAACTAACTTCTAACAAGTAAATGCAACATTTTAACTAAAAAAACTCTATAGATATTTTTCGCTTTAAGATTACATGTGCAAACACTTTTCTCCCAAAAGTTATGCATGCAGATATCAGGCTGTTGACTTAGGGTTAAATTATATATTACTCTTATTACTTAAAACAGTAGTCTTTTTTTTTTTTGAGTGCAGCCAATAAGTTTTCAAAGTAAATCATTGTTTTACATTTAATAACCTAAAAGATGTATTTCTTACGCTTCGAAAAATTTTACTGCAGTTATAATGAACTGATATTTTCTCGCTGTTACGTTTCAAATTCTTTTTTGAAAAAACTATTTGCGTGTGTAATGGAATGTGTGTATCTTATAATGGAAAAGATCCATTTTCTTATAATGGAAAAAATGAGTTATCTTATAATGGAATAACTTTTTATTATCTTTTATTGAATCGATTATTTACTGGAGTCTAATACATTTGTAGCAAAACTGCCAGTTTACTGTCAGAATATCTAATGTATGCTTGTTATTGCGTTTGTAAAATATCATTATCTATGCAAACTAAGTCCATTCTCTCTTGCAGTAACTATTTAATGTTTTAATATCAGTTAATATCTCTTTTTTATCCAAAGACTTGAAATGAAAGAAATAATTTCAACTAAATAACAAAATTTTTATTTTTGCGCAAAAAAATTAATAAAAAAATATAACAATAACAAACTGAAATCCATTCATTGAATTGATTATTTATTGATAGAGTTTAATGCATTTGATGCAATACTGCCAGTTTAATATCAGAATACCTAATATATGCTTGCTACTGTGTTTCAAAAATATCATTACCTATGTAAAATAAAATTAAGTTCATTTTTCCTTTCAGTAACTGAGCCCACCAGCGGCCGAGCGGTAAAGACGCTGAACACTGGTAGTTCGGTCCGAGGTTCGAATCCCGCGAACGGGCTGGCTGCGTGGGCGTTTTCGTGGTTTTTCCCCATGTGTAACGTGTATACGAGCCAGTTTCCCTTAGAAAGGCATCCCTCCCCTTAGGCAGATAGCCCTAGTGTGCTTTGCCGTAATTAAATACACATACACCTTTCAGTAACTATTTACTTTTTTATTCTCAGTTACTATCTCCTTTTCAACTATTAAAGACATGCAATGAAAGAAACAAGCTCAATTAAATAACAAAAAGTTTATATTTGTACATAAATTTAATAAAAAATTATAACAATAATTAAATAAATAATCCTGAAACTATATTAACAGTATTCTTTTTTACTGTTACACACAGTGTTGAGCTATAGGAAGCTCGAGTGACCACTTTGTTAAAATTTTGTTCAGTTTGAAGGCCCTTTGTTCTTTTTGCTCGGAATAAAAAGTACTTCTGCTTAATGTATACATGGCTGTATAATTAATAGTTCGAACTCAGATGGATCTCTTGAAAACTATTAGAAAAATCATTTAAATACAATTCGCCCTGAAGTGAATTCTGAAGAGGGAAGAAAACTGGAAGCTGCAATCAAAGTTGCAATTAGAAGATTATCAAACTGAAATTAGAAGATTCAATAGGAAACATAAATTAAATAAATTATTTTGAATCATTCGTCATCCCCTTCCAAATCAGATAGAATTAAATTACGTTAGTAAAGACGCATGAGTCGAAATATTAATAATTGACCATGTGCTTGGACCGTGATGGCAGAATGCAATTTACATATAGCTTTTGCTATAGGTAAAAAACTATTCAGATTTATTAAAGAATTTTTCATCAAAGAAACACGTAAAGATTTTTTTAAACAAATTCCTAATTTTAGAATTTTTAAAAGACCTGGTATTGACGATGGAGAGCGTGAAGGAATTATCTTGTTTAATTTATTACTATTTTTTTTATTTTATGAAACTTTTAATTGCTTTTTTTAAATTTCAGATTTTGTTCTTGTTCAGGGAAATTATTTGTATTTTCTGTTACTAAAAATAAACATTTTATTAGACTTTGTTATTTTGGTTTCGTAGGATAAATTGTGAGGTTTTGTTAAAATTTTCATAACTCACCACTCATCGCTGTTATGCATATCAATTTAAGGTACGAAAACTTAACACAATTGAACGTTCGGGATACTCATTTTCCTAGATAATTAAAGAAAGCATGTACTATAAATGAGATATTACTTAAATCTGAGTTTAAAGAAAAAAACAGATTTTATTCCCAGCAGATGTTGATAAAAATTTAACTACATAATAAATAAATATATATGAATCAAACAACATATCAGTGATGTAATTGAATATAGTAGCCTATATTCAAACTATATTCAATTGCTTCAAACTTTTGTGTGTATTATAGATACACAAAAGGGTGTTAGATTAATCAACAAGGAAATTAGTCTGAAACAAAACAATTATAAAAAACTGAAAACTTCGGATAATAGTCTGACATCTTTAACATCTACCATTAAGAATTGAAAAAGTGAAAGAAGTGTAACATATAGTCACCTCTTAATGAGAAGAACTTCCTGTTTTTGTTCAGAGACTAATAGCCAGTTAGAACTTTGAGGCAAGATGTTGCGAAAATCCCCTGGTGCGGTTTCCCGACAGTAATGACCCCATTCCAGGTATTTTCCGACAAAACGAGTTGGATAAAACGAGAGGATCTTTTGTGTGAGCTTTTTATGTAGTGAAAGGCTCGGAAGTAGACGCAATCCGGCTTCGTGGCTGCATCCAGCGGCCATTGTGTGAATTTATTGCTGTAATGGTTGATTATGTTATTTATTACTAATCAAGAAACTCTTATTAAGTTTTTAAAATAAATATTTAAAAGACAACAGTTCCTTTCTTTCACCTAACCCGGGTGTTCAGACGTTACAGCTTTATAAAAATGGTGGCAGCGGTACAGATGAGAACCATGCAGAGATTACAGACCATCAGATTCTGAATTTCCACGAAAAATTACGAACATCATTTCGAAAACGTGAACACGTCATTCATTAAGCAAGTGTGATTAGGAAATCCACGAAAAGGTTACGGACGACAGTCCGGTTAAAGTGATTACAGCTCTTCGAAGCAGGTGAATTAGCAAATCCACAGGAAAATCCACAGATTTTCGATCTACTGAATTTAGGCTGTCAAGATAACGTCAGCAATTTTTATAATTTCTTCAATCATCTTTGTGCCCGAGAAAATTTAGTTCAGTGAAGTGTGTGGGACAGTCATTGTCCGAAGATCATCAGATTATTGTGAATTTGTAGTGTAGTGATAAAAATGATATAGCTGTCTGAATCATCATGGCAAATTGTGTGATTTGTGTGATAAGTGATAAAAGAGTCAAATATCATTAGTATTTATCATCAGTAGTGCAGTTCCAGTGCACCAAGAGTCTACAAATCCAGGCGGGTAAGTACCTTAGATTTTCTTTTCTCTCTCTCTCTCTCTCTCTCTCTCTTTTTTTTTTTTTTTTTTTTTTTTTTTTTTTTTTATTCTTGAGGCAGTGAAGTAGTTTAATTTAAGTATTTCTGTAAATTAACTGTTCAGTCGACACTGTTTTCTGTAAAACTTAAAGAAAGGTGTTTCGTTTATTTTTATATTAAGAAGCATAAAATTTAGGTGTGAATCTGTGTTCATAGATAGTTAATATCTGAAAGGTTACACGTTGTGCTGCTTTAAGCTTATAAAATTGAATGTTTTAAATGTTAATAATTTTCAGTGAGGTGTAAAATTTTATTTTAAGAATGAACATTTCTTTTTTGTTCTCTGCTGAACTGGTAAAAAGGGGAAGCTAGAAACCCCCGTGTCTTATTTTAACTGTGTGTGCGAAATCAATGTTTAATTATGAGCATGTGGATATATGTTGTGTAATTTATTGTACTTTTGAATACATATTTTAACATATCTCAAATTTTGATGAAAGTATACAGTTTTATCATAAGCTTTTGAGTTAATGCAACTGAATTTTAAGTTTGTAAAACGTTAACAGTATTTGTAATCTGAAGCTCTCAAGTAACAAATTATAATGCGCATACTATGTTGTAAATTGTTTTGCATTTTGTTTAGATCTATAGAATACTTTGTGAAAAACATTAAGGCTTCAATTTTACTCTTTGTGAAAATGATATTTGTTTAAAGCAATCTTATATATAGGTAGTGTGACAGTGTGAGGGTGCTAAAATTGTTAGGTTGTTATTATAACTTCGGCTTATATCATGCCATTCTTAGCAAAAGTTAGGAAAGAGGATCTTAAAACCTTAGCTGAAGAGTTAAGGGGAAAAATCAGCCCTTGACTTAGGATATTGGATTTAAGACAGCTGATTATGGGAAATGAATCCTATGAGGAGAAACTAGTGAAAGGTCTGTTAGAAAATATCACTTTAACGAGGCTTGGGAGAGAAAAAAAGGAGCAGGATAGAATTAGGATAGAAAAAAAAGAGAAGCAGGAAAGAATTAGTAAGGAAGAAGAAGAGTGGCAAGAAAGAATTAGTTAGGAAGAAGAGAAGCAGAAAAGAATTAGGAGAGAAGAAGCAGAGAGGCAGGATAGAATTAGGAGAGAAGAAATGAAGTTTGAATTATCGAAATTAAGATTACTAGCCGCGAACGGAAATGACTCTGTAAATGGAGGGAATGAAAAAAATGGACTTACGAAAAGCCGTTGCGATCTAAAAATGTAATTCCAAAATTTGATCCTGAAGACAACGATATTGGTTTGTATCTAGTTATGTTTGAGCGCCAAGCCAAGCGGGCGAATCTTCATCAATCGGAATTGGTTTCTGTTTTATTGACAATTTTACCAACTGATAAAGTTCAGCTGATTATGCGAGAACCAGAGCAGCAGGCTTATGACTATGCTTACGTAAAAGGGATACTGCTTAAAAGGTTTAAGCTTAGTCCAGAAAAATTTCGCATCAAATTCGTACAATCCCAGAAAGACACTCAAACCACTTGGAGAAATTTTGCTTTTGAATTAAGGAATTATTTTGAAGAATGGATTGCAGGTTTGGAAGTTACAGATTTTGAACCTTTAAAAGATTTCATGGTAACAGACCAAATGAAACGTCGCGTAAATGTCGAAGTGCGACAGCATTTTATTGACGAATGGTCTAAGATAACGACTCCAGATAAATTAGCAGAAATGCTAGAAGAGTATGAAAATGTACTTGAACCCCGGAAGAAGAACTCTCCTGTTCATAGTTCGGAGTCACAAAGGGGCAATAAAAATCATTTAAATTCAAGAGATCCGCAAAAGTATCACCAGTCTGGATAGAAAACGAGATATGCACACTCCCCCCCCCCCGAAAAAAAAAAAGAAACCTTCCGAAATCAGAATCAACGTCAATTTGATGTCCGTAAACCACTTAAGTATTTTGCCTGTGGTTCAACACTTAAGGCCTCAATGCCCGATAGTTAAAAAGGATTTCAAATCACCATTTATTGTAAATAGACTCCAGGAGCTTGAAGAAGATTGTTTATCCCCGTATTTAACGATGGCTAAAGTGAACGGTTTTGATCTCCCAATTCTGAGAGATACCGGATAATGCATTGACATATCATGCAACAAATACATCACTCCTTGGATGCTGACGGGCGAGACTGGGTAAACAACCGTTTGATGCGGCCTCAATTGGCACATGATAAAATAGAAGGAAAGTTTGAACGGGTAATAACAAAAGCAGCGGTCATTCGAAATGAGTTGGATCAAGGCCGATACTTGTTAGGGAACAGAACGGCTGCGAAAATATAATCAGATGAACTGGACAGACTTTCCTTTCAAGTAAACGCAGTGGAGACCCGAGCTCAGAAACTCCGTCAGTCAAAAAACGAAATCGGGGGAAGTTATCAGCAAGAGTTGGAACGCGAACCCTCCGGCGAAAATTCTCCCCTCGTTATCGGACATGGAGGTAGGAAGTAAGAAGGAGTCGCCCTAAACAAGTTTCTCCGTACCCTGCTCTGAAGCACCGGCGATCCCTACGTGGTGACCAAAACATTGGGTCATTTACCATTGAGTTCTATGGAATTTGACGCGTTCGGGTGTAAATATTTTGTAATTACGTCGCAAATATACATATAAATGTATATATTTTCTTTTTCTACAACACTTAAGAGCCCTAAGTATGTGAAAACAACATATTTTTAAACAACAGTTCATTCTGAACGGAATTAAATGCTATACTTTTCACAGGACAGTTTTCTCAGAATGGTTTAATTTGAATGAAATATTTTCACAAGTTTTCGTTAATTACATTAGAAAAAAAAATTAAGGTAATTCGGTTTTATTCGGTTAAGGTACAAAAATTAAGATCGAAGTTTATTGTATTATTAATATTAAAATTATGCATTATTTCTTTTCTATTTATAGCGCTTCTTCCTAAAATACTTTCTTAAATATGACATGATTTTTTGGCTTCTTTTAAATCGAAAATGTAAGTCAATTTTATAATTAATGCTCTATTCGGTTCATTTTAAATTAGAGAATTATTAGGAATTAAATAGTATTTGACTTTCTCTGAACATTTCTGAAAGGGAATGAAATAAGTTTTTTTTTTTTTTTAAGTATTGTTTAAAACTTGTAACTGAGTTATTATAAAATGTAAAGTGAATAATTCTTTTAATTATACTTATCAGATTTTTTTTTTTTTTTACCCTTCATTTCAACAATACATATTCCAAAACTCTTTATTACGTTCTTAAGTGCGCATCTCATAGCATTTGCTTTACAAATACCTTTTAAACAGATTGCTTTCCAATACGAAGAATTCTTGCTTAAATAGTTTTTATAAACGTATTTGTCAACAGGATTTCAATTTATGTTACAATTCAATATTAAGGTTATTATATTTAGATAACATTTATAATCATTATAAATTAGACACATTTAATCATTAGATTTCTTCACAGTACTTTCACAGTTGTTTATAAGTGAATAAATTCTTCATTTCAAATACATTTATAAATAATTTAATGAATATTTAAGTATTTTGTCAAAGGCAGATACATGCTTCTTGCAAGCACATGCATAAATACCCATACATATTTCCTATTTATCATTTCCGGCATGTGCAAATCTTTAATTTCTGTGCATTCACTATATTTTTCGTGTAAAGTAATTTACACTAATTTAGCATAGACCCGAAAGTTTTACATAAAAAATATATATGAATATAATTTGAGTGAAAATTATAAGTATTATTTTTAATACCCACTCAAAGGTCAGTTTTTCTTCAAAATTCCTCCACAATGGCATCTCTCTCTTTTGGCAGATAGCCCTTGCATGCGTTACTCTATTTAATAAAAACTTAATCTGACCTATGTGCCTAATTACAAATATTTTAACATACATAATTTTATATTTACATTTAGCCATCAAGTTTCAAACTTTTCAAATCTTCTAGAAAATAAATTTTGGCAGATCTCTTTTAGCAATTTTCTTAAAATCTATATTTTTGTAGTGCAACAGCTTAGAATTTTATAAAACAAATTCATAATCAAAATCGCTGTTGTTAGTTATCGAAAAATAACCAAGATGTGATATTTGCGTAAATGTCAGTAAACTATACAAATTGCTATTATCCATTACACTATGAATGTTTCTTTCATGCGAGAGTGTCCCCTTTTTCAGTTTCTATGGAACTGCCGTGTGTCGAAATACTATCAGAATCTTGTCAAGCGAGATTCTGAATGTAAACAAACAACCGTCTGGTGACCCAAGCTTCAAAGCAGTGCTTCACTTCTAGCGCGGAATGGCCCCTCCTCCCTTTCTTACCTCCATGTTATCGGAAGAAGTATCGTTTTCTCTCAAACAAAAAGGGTTGAAGGAATCCAGTTTCGCTCTGCCTGAAACCGAGGTGAACGAACTGTCACTGCTTTACAATAGACCCGACGCAGTTAGCTGATCTACAAAAGAAAGGTGACTAAACGATCAAAGTAACCCTTTGGAAAATGTTTACAAATTAGAAATTTCCTTTTCGGTTCGGCACGAACAAGAAACTGTAGATATGCCAAATGATGTTTCGTACCAACCAGACTCGGTAGGTTTGCAAATGCCTAAAAACTCCATAAGAGAATTGCTCAAGACACCGAGTAGTGTTAATTTACCAAAAAAAAAAAAAAAAAAAAAAAAAAAAAAAAAAAAAGAATCCCTTATTCATCATTTATCTAGGTTAGTGCGTGATACTGAAGGGTCAAAAGGGAGTAAATATAGCTACTTCATGAATGATGTAAATCCAACTTGTACTGAAGTAGTTCTTTCTGATGTTAATGCTAAATTAAAGGTATATATTTATTTTGGGTGTACTCCAACTGCGCTAATGAAAATCCTCCCCCCGGGTCGAGCTATAGTCCAACTGCGCCAATCAAAATTTCTTCCCCCCTGCTGCCTACAGGGTCACAATTTAACTTTTCCAAGC